CAACATGGCTAAGCCCTTACTTACAGTTTTCAGGTCATTTTCCCCATTTGTAGATTTTTGATATCTTGCATCAGCCTTTTGGGTGTAATGTTCGCAAATTTGGACATTTTTCCAGACCATAAGCTAAATCCAGAGACTTGACCTGCTCCACTAGGCCCAGGGGATTAAATGATATCAATATGCTCCAGCAGTAGAGACTTTATCAGTAGCAGTAAAAAAATAATTCTTGATGGAATGTTTTGATAGTTTCACTTGACTACATGAGACGTAAACTGTCATGAAAGGACATAACAAAAATCTTCCCCGAACAAACCTAAGCGTGCTCCCTCCCCGGCTCATAACAGCCTACCTTGAAAACTGAACCCCAGCTGCATCCATCCGTCTCCCCGTGACATCCACACAGGTCCTGGGTGTCTTGTTGCCTCCATCTGCTCCCGCAAACTGTGTTTAAATCGATTTATTTGTGTGTTTTTTTTCCTCGTTGGGCTTCAAAATGATTCCCTGCGTACCTTGATAAATAGGCTCAAGTCATTAAATTCAAATTAAACCTTTTTACTGTCGGCCTTTATCAACAACAGATCGTTAAAAAAGAATGAATCATCATTATTAGCAAATAAAATAACAGTGTCAGTGCTGGTAATGACAGATGAGAGCTGTGAATCACTGAGATTAAATGTCTTTATCTGAGAATAACTAATAATTATTGTTGCTGCTGCATAATGACTGATTGTATTTCTAGATATTGGCTGTTTGGTATTTTTGAGGTAAGGCATATATGATGTAACAAAGAAGCATTCAGATACTGATTTAAATGTCAGCAGTTAAAACTTTGAAGCCTCTGATGAGATCCTGTGTTCACACAACTGCTGAAACAGCAACAAGTGATTGAGCAACACTTAAGCGGCGACTCGGTGACAGTGTAGCTGGCAAGTGTTGGCTGTTTTGCAGCTTTGTTGCTCATAATGTGGACTTAAAAGTCATCATATCTGCGATTTTTTAACAACACGCCTCGGCCTTCTTTAGGGGCAATGGTCAGGAAGTAGAGTGGGCCTTCTAACCGAACCATTTTGATAATCATTTGAACCATATTCCTAAAATATTGGTTGAAATAAATCATAATTCAATCTATTACCACCATCTGGAATTTACAACCAAAGATTTTGCTCTTCTTCTCTCATAACTGTCCTGAATTTGACAGTTTATAGCATCCTTGAAAGTATGTTTGGGGGAAAAAAAAAAGTTTAGATGTTTTCTAGCTACATCTGCGTTAGACCAGCATGCTTGTCAGATTGTAGTCTTTGGAAAGCTGCAAGAATGATTGATGCAGCCCTCCTGCCCTCAGTCGCTCAGTTCTCCAACCAACACTTTAAGTACGCTGGCCCCTTAAATCACCCCCTCAGCTTGATCTACAGCCACCATCTCACAGTTTCGGACCGACAGCTTAAAGATTTGACCAGAACACCCTGAAATAGCTCAACATATATGGAAGGTAATGCAGACAGATGGCTGCATGACGCCCCGTGATTCCACTGCTGTCTCCACTCCGGAGCGGAATTACCACCAAGTCTGCTTCTGCTAATTCTATCACCTGTGCAAACAATGCCAGGAAAGAGCTGACATTTTGAATTATTGCAATCGTGCCATTTCCTTAAATACCTGAGCGCTCACATGTCGAACACGATGGGATGCTTCTAAATTGCCAGAAAACGTGACACATATCCAGATCTGTGTTTCTCCACGTGCCGGCACACACACACACATTTGACTCTGTGCCTCTAGCAATAGGTGTCCTCACTTTCTCTCTTCCTGCTGTTCTCTTTATCACTTCCTGTCTGAATCCGAGTCTTTTTCCAGCCTGTTTAGTGGTATTGTGTATTCCTGTTGTTGGTTTTAGGGTCAGCGTGTTCCCGGGCCGATAAGCAGACACCAATATCTAAGATGACATATTATAATGAACCTGATAAGAAAGAGACGCTGTGTAAACATGTCATAATATTTATGTCATGCCCATATCATAGCAAGTGTTTATTCCGTATATAACAATATCGTTTCCCCTTTTCTCTGTGTGTGTCTGTTTTTTCCAGAGTGCTGATGTCAGTGCATCGTCCTTGGGGAAACAATCTGGTACCACTCAGAGCTCCGAAGCTCCGCCTGTTCCTTCTGCGACAGCCAATCGCATCGAGAGAGCAGCTGGATCGGACGCAGCCCTGAAGCACTTTGACAGAGAATGATGGATTTTTTTTTTTTATTATTATTATTATTTTTTTCTTTTGTCTCTTCGCTTTCATCTACTTGGTTTGTGGAAACCAACAGGGATGTGTGCCAAATGACATTCTTATGACTATTCGCTGCTCTCATTCCTGGAGTGAAAGCCAATCAGAGAAGGGTACAAAAAAAAAAAAAATGGAGAACAGTGTTTTGTTGATTTTATTTTTCCTAATTGAAAAACTCTAATCACTAAAGAGTACAACGGTGGGTGACAAGTGTGTGAAAAAGAAAATGTATAGAATTATATATCTGCTCAAAAAGTGCCTCATTTTCAGATTGTAGCCATTTTACAAAGAACTGCAAACGTAGCGTCGACTAACTAAAGCTTTGGGTTGTAATTTTTGTGCTTGGTTTTAATGTAGTTCCAAAAAAAAAAAATGCAACAAAAAATACTGATAAGTGGGGAGCACTGGTGTGAGCTGTTGCTGCGTTCATGTTATATAGGGTGGATGTTAGAGATAGAAGACCGCCGCAATGAAAACGTATTGAACTTCTAGAGTATGCAGCAGAAGTCCGTAGACGCCTGTGCAAAATCCAAATAGAAAAACATGTATGGATAGCACCATAAATCCAGTGGATATACCGTACTATTGGCTGACTCCCAGTCTGTAGAATATTCCAGCATAATACTGATCCAATATCACACAAGAGTTTCTAAAGGAGAAAATAGTGTTGTCTGACTTGAATCCAGTAGAAGTCTTTTGGGATATTTTAAAGAGAGAGAGCCAAATCCACAAAACCCCTTCAGCAAAGAACAAAAAAAAAAAAAACGTCTGAGGAATGGCAGAACATCTGTCCAGAAATTTGGTATCCTCCGTGGTGAGCAGGATTAATTCTGTTCTTGCTGTGCGGCCTGTATTTTTAAACTATTTTAGTTTAGAGCAAATTAGAAGTGGTGCGGTCATTGCAAGGTGATACAATTCATTGATATTGCACAGGGGTGTACTCACGGCTATTGTATACTGTATATTTTTGGACAATAGTCATACAATGGATGTAAAAATCTCCTAACTTCGATGCTGCCGTAAACCCTATTTAAAAGCCAAAAACCTGTAATGACAATAAATCCGATATGACATGAACACAGCATTTTATTATTAATAATAATGGGCTTGCAATCCGCTGGCCTCCCTTTTTACTGTGACAAATATTAGCATAGCTGCTGTTAGCTAACTGCTCATTAGTGCATTGCATTTCTTCTTTAAATTTTCTTTTTCTTCTTTAAATTTTACTTATTTTTCATGAGCCACAACTGAAAGTATTAAACACACAGGCTTGAAATAAAAAAAAAAAAGGTACTTGTAGCAGGGAATGCAGTAACTCACTAGCTAGCTAAAGCCAGGTAGATCAGATTAAAATATTAGTATCGTGCCAGGACGTAAATTCAGCGTCCTGCTGACTACAGCTCAGGGTTAGATCCCTGACATAGAGCCAAGCAATCCCATTAGGGCTATTAGTTCCAGACACTTGTGTCTCACTTAATCCCCTTCATCTCAGGATGCTAAATAACATACAGAACATACAGCTTAGGACAGAGACCCTATCAATAGCCATTCTAATGCTAGCTTTGTAGCGGTCAGCACACTGCGTATAGCGCCTGAAAGGGGGTCAGTCCTCATTTTACTTATGTGAATATAAAAAATCAAACTGCTAATTTGTTCTCTCAGTTATTTTATACAGTACCAAACATTTTTATTTTTGTTTTTTTTACACTTTTTCATTTTAAACTGGTTAAATTAAAAGTGCTTTGACCCTCAATCCTTCTTTAAGACTCTGTTTCTATCACTTTCCCGCCCTTTTGCTTACTTTAATCTTTGCTATGCATCAGCACTTAAGTGCCTGTCTGTCGTATTTGTCGGTCTGTCTCTCTGCTCCATTTTAGCAACTAGCACTACTACAGATGTCCAAGCAGAATATATCAAGACTATTTTTGTGGCTATTTTTTTGTCTCTTTTGCTGTATAGTTCTCATAAATTGTTTGTTCGGTGTGGCAACGATCTATCAAATGACTTGACTGACAGCCGCGGCCCTGATCGGAGGAGTGTTGGACTGTTTCTCTTTGCCGGTAATGGAGGACTTTATTCGTTGCAGGGCCGTCAGTGCCAAATACAACAACAACAACAAAAACTAAGCCTCTCTGACAGCACCTCAAGAAGCAACTTTCAGTTCTCAAGTCTGGACACATTGCTTTGTTTTGTTTTAAAAATGTAACCTTTTGTGTTCCCCCCGTTGTTTTCTGTCGCGGCGGGGGGGAAAGAACTGTGACACATCGCCTCGCAGTCTGCTTATGTGACTCTCTGAGATAAAGGTCATCGCGAAGACTGCCGTATGCTTTGACCAGCGGATTATAAAGAAACGCACGAAGAGAAAGAAATGGCCACCACGGAAAACAACTGCAAAAACCTAATGTTTGAATACATGTGTAGTTGTGTAGCTCCAGATTTTACCCTTGTTGGTCTGCCTGCCTTAGGAAGTTCATGAACTTTCTCATGCTGGTCACATGACTTTCAGGGCCTAGAGCATAACAATGCAGCTTTATTATGAGCAGATTGGGATCTGCTGTTGGAATTGCCCCTGAAAAGTGGTTACTAATTCAGAAGTGGGAAAAAAAAAACAAAACTTCAAACCGGATTTGACGTGTAAATCCAAGACGTCTGCGTTCCAGCAGACTCGCAGGCAAACACGTGTTGATGAATTCTAATGGTTCTAATGTATTTTGGGGATGTTCTCATGTTGTGACTCAGCCAAAACACAAATGCTTGAAGGTACTTGTAGTTTAGAAAGAAAGCGCACAAACAGACTTTCAATCCTAACAAGCAGACATTATTATCCTGCCATTTAGAGCCCCCTTCAAGCTCTAGCATCTCTTTTTATTTTGTCAAACTGCCTGCAGCCTTCTTCTTCGGCTGCCTTTGGCGACGTGTGGCGGTCACAGCCGCATGTCATGAGTCAAGTTTCTTTGGGAGAACTCAGGCAAACGTGTGTGGGGGGAGTTCAGCAGTTTTAAGTGGCTGTATGATTTCATTCATTGCATTGTTAGCAAACTTAGTCGTGTTCATAAAATGTGCAGAAAAGTGCTGCTGCTGTTCTGAATTGTTTTATCTATTCCTCCTGTTCCCTCGAGGGATGGTACTGAATGGGAATATTGTGAGGTTTTGCCATTGATGTAGACAGTTTTACTTATGTGCTTGAGAAAAAAAGAGAAAAAAAAATCTGACTAAATGGAAAAAAAAGTCATACAACAAAAGGACTTGTGGTTTCTTTTGTTTCTGAGGCTGGTTGCTGAGTCTTGAGTGATGTAATGGGGATAATTGTTTTTTTAAAAAGTGGCAGGAAAAACAACAGAGCTACTGAACTGGGGGGTCGGGGGGTGCGGAAGACGTAAAAAAAAAAAAAATTTACTGTCTGAGGCAAGTGTGAACATCTGCGTGTGATGCCACAGGCTGGCTCATGCCCCTTCACACACTCGCAGTCTTTGACTCACATACACTGAAACAACCACGGAGCAGATGCCCCGCTGTAATGTGGAAAAGAAAACAGCCCGATAGTTATCCGCCAAAGCCTTTTTAGCTGCGTTCGTCACATTCACCACTCCCATTGATAAGATCATTTGCACTCCAGATTGGCAGCTCGCCAGCGGAGTTAATCACTCGTCTTACCGGGAATTCGACCGACATGGTGTTTGCTGGGTGAGCTCAAATACCTCCCTCTGTCTTACTTGATACCACCCTCTCACTCAGCACTCGCTTTGATTAAAAAGAAAGGCTTTTTTTTTGGCATGATAAATCTGTGCCTCTCTTTCGCCTTATTGTTAACATGTATGGGATTTGGTATCATCCTCGTCCACAGATGGCCGAGTAACTCAACCCAAGCCGGGTGCGATTGTGTGCTGACTGTGGCACCACAGGAATTAATAGAAAAGAGAGGCCACACAGACCAGGCCTGCACCTGCAGAGGCTTTTACTGTCCTCATTGAAAAATAAAGTGTGTGTAGACAAAAAGCCTGGCGACACCTGTGCGACGGAAGATGCCCCCACACCCACACCTGAAGGATGCTGATACCTACGCTGTTGCCTCTCTGTCCCATTAATTCTCTTTATGGATCGTGTTCTCTTAACTTTTGTTCACGTACGTCTTAAAGTGAGCCCCGGGGGATTTCAAGCCCTACTTTTTAACATTGGTTAGTTTGCTCGTTTCAGCAGACGTTTCTCTTTGTACTCACGAGAAAAGCTCCTGACTCAGTGGCTGAATTTAAACATGCTTGATGCTTTTCCATAAATAATCCAGGTTTAGTGAATACCTGAATCCTCTTGTTTGTGATGCACAGTGCGAAAACACACACACACAGGTGATGTGAAAAAGGCAGACGTGCTCTAACTTGACCCACATTCTCACTCCCTTTAATGTTTGTATGGACATAGACGGAAATTCAGAGCGCTATCAGTGCCGCTCTCAGATAAGGAGAGAATGTGAACAGCTGCCATCTGGTTGTCGTGGAGACGGGCGGCGACAGTGCCTCCCTCGGCTGTGGTGACAACATCTCTGGTCAAGAAAGGAGTGAAAGAGAGCAGAGGAGAGGCGCTGGATGAGAGCCAAGGCAAAAGGACACGGAGTTCAATAGCAGAGAGGTGTGCTGGCCAGAGGCCAACAGGTGAACCTGTTGTGTCTAGGCGGGCAGAGTATCGTCTCCTCATTGTTGTCTGTGACACTGTATCCTTGTATTGCAGCTAAGTATAGATAATACAAACACGCCTTGATACACCTGTGGGCACAATGGCAGCAGAAATCGTCTCAATATCCATATTTGTTTAAACACGGCAGGAATATTTGTACAGTCTCAGGCGAATTAATCCAATACAATAACCACAAAGCCTACGGTATGTAGTAGCTCCTCTGAGGCTTTTGATCACATGACTTAATCTTCATGTGCAGATAAAGTTCCCAGAGCTGTCAGCTTTTAAGTGCTTAACAAAAACGTCAAGTGAACGTCTTGATTTCGTGACAGCTATCAGCTGATGATCAAAGTTAGATAATCAAAACCTGAGAAAAGCTACTAAATGGACCTGGTTGTGGGATTTAACTGCTGTTTCCAATGCACTGTAAACGTCAATATATGCTCACTTTTGAAGCCGCAGTTGTTTTTTTTAGACTAAATTTAAATTAAAATTTTATTTTGCTGAAATAAAAAGTTTCAAGACTACCTATAAAAATCAAAAACCCAACCTGATACAGACTGTACCCCATCATCCCCATCAAAGTAGTCGAAGTATGCAGCAACCCACTACTCCCAGCGCTCCTGCAATGCCTATAATGCTCCATCAGAATCAGAATCCGCTTTAATGGCCAAGTACGTACACAACATACAAGGAATTTGGTTTCGGCTGTTGGTGTCGCCCCAGGAATTTGCAGGAATAATTGAAATAGGAAAATTAAAAAATAAAATAAAGTAAAGTAACTAAAGAAAGAAAAGAATAAGATATAATAAATATTAATAAAAAATAAAACAAGATAATTGGATGTGGCTCAGCTGTTCAGTAGGGTTATGGCAGTGGGATAAAAACTGTTTCTGTGTCTGGTGGTTTTAGTCTGCAGGACTCTGTATCGCCTGCCAGAGGGGAGGAGGGAGAACAGTTTGTGACTAGGATGAGTGGGGTCTGTGATGATGTTCCCTGCCCTCTTCCTGGTTCTATTGGAGTACAGTTCCTGGATGGAGGGCAGGGGGGCTCCATGGAAACCTTTTTCTGTAAACATTTCAAGCATCATTCATGTGCAATGACTGCACTGTGAGCAGATCCACATGCCATCATGCCACAGTTCAGGTCATTTGTCTTGAATGTTCTCCCTCAGACCTCCTAGGATGTTACAGTAGAACTCTGCCTTGACAGTCCGACCCTGGGGGAGAATTCCTCATGCAATACCACCTGAATGTTGAAGAAAACAACCAGTGTGCTCCTGGTCCACCCCTGATTGATGCACGTCATCCGGTCATGGAAAATGCGAGCCTTTCCACGGTGAAAAACGAATGTTTCTTCTTTGGGCGATAGCTACAGACCCACCTGTCATCAGCTGGGATGATTCTTGGCATGAAGTCCTGACACAGAATGTGACGTTTTCTTCACTGCTTCAGTTTGAAATATATGACAAATTGCAAACGAGAACCTACTCGTGGTCACAAAAACACATGTAACACAGTCAAAACAATCTTGACTCTCTTATAGCAAGTCTCTATAAGTACTAGGATGATAAAAAAAGAAAAGTAGGGCATTCTTTAATATAATGAAACCATTTCCCCAACTTCCGCCCTCAAAATTGAATAATCTGAGCATTAAAGATGACCTGCTTAAAGGTTTCTAATGTCTGGCATTGCATCCTGTACTGGATTGCAGTTTTCCTGTATAGTTAATATGATTAAGTTAATGATCCTGCTTGAAATATATTGATTAGAAAATCTATCAATTTGAGTGATTTCATAAAAACACCCTTATTTTAGATCCCCTTCAGAGCCTTTAAACATCTTCTAAGTGCGCTAAAAACATGTTCTAAAGCTGGGTAACGAACTGGTATAAAGGAGTGGCACAAATTCCCCGTCAGATGTATGCGCTGGCCTCTTTGATGGGGACTCGGAGTGCTATTTTTATGGTTTTACATCACCAGTCCCTGGCCTTGCAGATCATGTACAGTTCATGCGACTGTATGTTGGCAACGATACAGGAAGTCTTCCTTTCTTTATGACTTCCTCCATGGCGCAGGCCACAGGAAGCTTGCTGGATGTAGGACACGGACGTAACTTTTGTTCCCAAAGCAGATGTGGGAATGTTAATGTCTGCGCTATTCCACGATCCCAAATTGCTTCCTTCATGTCATTTACACTTACCCAGGAATGTAGTAGAGGTTTTGTGTCACCAAACTTACAGAATGTTTGTCTATAGTGATGAAAGATTTAGTGTTTTCTTCTTCTTAGTGTTTCATTATTTCCCCCATAATAAAGCTCTTGATTACAGTCATGACACTGCAAGCTGCTTCTGCTAATCCTTCCGACTTTCTTTCTTTCTTTCTTTCTTTCTTTGCCCTGCCTTAAACCTTCCATATAGGCAAAATTAACCACTCAATAAAGTTTATGCACACAGTCGTGGTCAAACAGAACGGATCTGATGCTCTGGTTCGTCTGCTTCAGTGGCATGTGAAGTCATCTGAGCCACGAATGCCACAGCCGACGCAACCATTTTCTAATGTATTTCCAGCTCTCTTTTCCTCACCGCCCCCACTTTCACATAGTGTACTTAGCCAAACAAAAAGCCTTTCTCTGTCTTCCCCTCCCTCCCCTCTAACCGGCTAACGCTCTATCTGTTCCTCTCCGTCTCTTTCGCTGATGATGATGATTTGTCTGTGGACAAAAATTAGCTCCGTAGCTGGTCGTTTCTGAGAAAGCAAAAAAAACTGCAAGAAAAAGTGCCACATGGAGTGAGTGAGAGAAAAACGAGAAGGGGGAACAAGAAGAAAAAAAAGGAGGAGGGCGTTTTGGGGGAGTGGTGGTGAGGGAAGAGGAGGAGGGGGGGAGACTGAGAGGCCTCTGTGCTTTATTTTCCTTGAAAGCTCCCTGAAAACCGCAGACACATGGTACAGAATTCCCCTCACAGTAGGACAGGAGGGAGGTGGAGGGGAGGGGAGGGAGGCTTTTGCAAGAGAACACCACACTGTCTGTGATCAACACACACATACAGGGAATATTATAGACGCACACTTGGAAAAGGAGGGATTGTGTGAACCTGACACACTCGGCCGCACAAAAGGCAGCACAGAAAGAGGGGAACTTTGAAGGAGCCGACAGGCCAACGCCTTGACATGCCGCCGCACGGGAACCTTATAACATAACATCAAACAATCATATCACCTTAATACCTCTCAGCTCTATGGGAAAGTGGACAGCTCCACTTTCCACGGGTATTTATGGGGGTGGTGGTGAGGGGTGGAGGGTGGGAGGGGAGGGGAGCGTTAATCCAATGTACAATGTGTTTAAGTTTGACTGGCAGATCCCCTCAAACAAAAAAAAAAAACCCTCCCACCTTCTCCTCGCTTTGGGGCCCCTTCCAGCCTGTAGATTGAGGACAAGAACTGGTATTTAGGTGGAGTTTGGAGGTCAGGTGGTGTGAATGGACCTGCTAGGAGCTGTGATCTGGGTTTAGCGTGGACCCATTGCCCCTGACTGGATCAAATCTGGAAGCAAATGCGCTCAGCATTTTAAGCTTA